TGAAAATATATATTAAACTTAGTTTTACTGCTGACTTTACTTTGTATTTTGCTTCCCTATCTTTGTCTTTATTTACAATATTTGTTTAAATGTCAGAGACTGGGCCCGACTGTCTCTTTTGCTTTCTGTACAAAGCTCATTTTCTGAATAATGCTCCCTGTGTTTTTCCATCAGAGGTCCAATTTAATCCTGTGTGTTCAATTGCTGTGTTTTTCCCTAGAGCTTTTCAGAGTTTCAAGGTTTAGAGAAGAATGATTGTGCATTTTATACCTTAGATATTTGATGAATTAAAGTAGATGATATTCTAACATATCTGGAAAGTTTTGGTCCTCCCCATTTTTTTTTTTCTGGGAGAGGGACGTGGAAGTGGTTTCCTGTTTTCGGGTATGAATGTTCTGTCTCCTCATTTCAAGTCAAAGGTCAGACAAAAGTCACTCTGTTTCTGAGTTGTTAGATTTCTGTTTTTCAGTTTGTGAAATGTGGCAAGTAGCAACACTTTCAGCTCCATGAATAGCTCCTGTGCCTGAAGTGTTTACTTGCTTCATTAAACCTTACAGGCTGCAGGAAAAAAGAAATCCTCATTTGTATATTTTTAAAGCTCAGACACCAAAATACTGACAAAGCTTCTGCTGTGATGCAGGTTAAGAGTAAAAAACAACACATCACTTTGCTGATATTCGAATAGTTTCGTTCAAGTGAACACATCACCACTCAAATACACTCCATTAAATACAGCCATTGTGCAAAAGCATCATAGAAGTTTATGTAGCCTTTGTTGTCTTTCAACAGGAAGTATTCATGGCTGAGTAGATATAGCTCAGCTCAGTCAGCATTGAGAAGGTGAATTGCTAAAATCTAAAGATTCATTCAGAGACAATGGTGATTGGATGTACTTCAGGAGGCAGGATATAATGTATAAATTACGCTGCAGAAATCACATGTTTTGGTTTTCACGACATTGACTCCGGCCTCAACCCTCAAAGCTCTCAAATCTTGTCTTTCCAATTTGCCATTTTGTCTGTGTTTTCTACATGTTCCTCTTTTTGATCCTGAGATGTTTTTTTCTCCAGTTTGCCTTCGTCTTGTGTTAGAAATGTCATCAGCACGCCCACTCACATTGGCTCTCTCAGTTCAGTGCATGTCATGTAACATATATATCATTTAAAAATAAATATTGGGCTTATATATCATTTGCTGTTGTGGCTGTAACACCGTCACATACACCGATGATGTCTTGGTGGAAGGATAATCAAAACCTAGTTGACATACTTTGAAAGTAATAATTCATTCCCTTTATATAATTTTATTCATACTTTTGTTTTGTTTGTCTGTTTAATTTTTTATGTTAAAACTTTGTCTTTAGCTTAACAAAGACATGTTATGATGATTTCAAACTTTGACAAACCTGCTTTTTACATAAACATTGAGGAAATAACGGAAAAAATCACCTTCACAATGATAAATGAATGCTGTAATGCCCAAACCAGAGAGAAAACATCAAAACCGATTTGCGTTTGCTTTTAGAGTCAGTTGTGATTTAATGTGTTTACATGCTTAGCATCATCTTGTTATTATCTGGATGCTAAATTTGCCCCTTCTCAGATCGGGCATGTCAACAACATTCTGTTTCCTGCTGCTAAGTCCTTGATGAGGAACTGATTAGGATATGTATCCTGTGTATAAAGCCATCTGTTGGGATGCTGAGACATTTATACACTTTATCCCCTTTGCTGGTGGGTTTCATGCTCTATGACTTTTCTCTTTTCATCCTATGTGGAACGTCAGATGTGTGATTGGATTTGCAAATGCCCCCAAGAGCACCGAGCAGAAATGGGAATTGTTGGGTGATGGAAATGGTACATTTTGCATCATTTTGCACCAGTGGGACAGCCCGGGCAGATATCATCTCAGATGCTGATGTGGTTTATGCTCATGGTCGGCTCTCAGGCAGACTGAGTGAGCTGTTGGAGCTGCTCAAGAGGAACTGAAGTTCTTATGCACAAGTTAAGTTGGAGATAAGCTCATTGGGAAACAGTCTAGCACACCCTCGCTGCTCACTTTTAAACATCTCCCTCACACTTCCCCCTTTCTTCCCTCTTTCACAACTGACTCACACGCCTACGCGCACACACACACACACACACACACACACACAACCTTCATCAGGTTTCATTATTCCTTTTTTCACCTTTCTCTCCCACTTCCCTCTTTTTATTTCTCCATCTGCTCCTGTAATGTGGGGGATGCATGACTGTACATTTACTGCCAAGACACTTCTCCCCTTTGCTTTGTTTCACGTATTTTGATCTTTACTATCCAAAATGGGAGCTCCTGCAGATTTTCTAATACTCTATCTTCCAGAGCCCCCCTGGTGGTTGCTGGGATTAAGAAAGAAGAGGGGGAGAGGAAATACGGAGAAGAAGCGACTGCTGTATGCCTGGATTTTACCCTTTGAACTCTTGGAGTAGTGAGTCTCTGGCCCAGCTGCTTCAAAAACACAGAAACAATGATGTCTGAAAGCACAGGGATTCAAAAACCTCTCAGCTGCTCACTGTTAGACTCTCATACATCAAACCACGCTGTCTGTACAGTCTTCATTCTGTGAAAGATGTGCTACATAATGTTACTGTCTACTCAATATGTTTGTCACATCTTTTTTATCATGGAGATATAACAAAATTAGAACCAGACCAGATTGTAATTCAAGTTCTATATATTTGGTTATAGTTATTTAACAAAAAAAACATTAAGCTTAAATCACATTTATTTATCATACGGTTTTGAAAACTATATCTTAAGAGTCACTGCCAATTTATATATAACTTATTGATTTATATATTTATTTTTTATTATTCCCTTATATCATATCGGTTGGTCTGTGAACAAATTACATAGCCTACAGATATTTGAATAGTCAATAGTGTCCTCATAGTGAAAAATATTTTTTATTGAATTCTCCAGTTTGAGCTATTTGATTAATTCATTAACATTTAAAATAATGTTTTAAATTATACTTGAAAGGATATGTTGTTACATCCCACCAGCTGCTTAAAGAAATTAATTTATATAAAATATATATCAGCTGGTGTTTTCCTCATGGATCCCTGTTTAAATGTCATTTTAAATGTAAAGATGTCATTTGACAGCAGCTGAAGGACAAACGCTTGATCTCATTTTCAACTGTCCTAACCTTATCCTGGTTTACTGTAAATTTCAGGGGACCCATTCAACACAGGCTGCAAAACTATTTACATATGCTGCATATAAATGCCATGTCAGCGCTCCTAAATGTCAAAATCAAGTGTCTCATAATCACTCAGAGTATAAGCTGCTCATGAGCTTAATTCCACCACTTACCCAGCACTTACAAGATGGCACAGTGAGAAAAATCCTCATCAGGTCTCATCATCGATGTAAAGTTTTAAGTTGATGTGACCATTGTCTATTTCCAGGATACAACAAGAGAATTGTTCTTTGATTAAATATGTCATGTTGATAAAAACTGCAAACACACACTAAAGTCCAAATGAAACCTAAATCGTTGTCTCATTAAATGACAGATGGGGACATGCAAAGCCAATTCTTAAATAAAAATTTCAGCAAGTCTAAGTATAACTAAAACTACATCAAATAGCTTTTCATTGGCTTCATTTGTTTGACTCTGAGAAAGAAAATGGGTATTATATGAAAACATATACTATCATCACTGTCAGTGATCATTTCATCAAGTTTAGATGATGAAGGCAGAAAACTAATAATGTGCTTGCTGCAATACCCATAGTTTAAGTACAAGTACAAAGCTAATAATTCTATTGTTTGGACCCAGTAGATACATTTTTAAAATGTCAGCCATCATGATACTGAAAAGAAAGTGGTGCCTTCTGGGAATCATCAGGAAGAAATTGAGATGTTTTTCACTTAATCTTATATTATTGTTATTTTTACTCAATAAAACCAGGATCTCACATTTTCCCCACTGAAAAAAAACACAGTTAAGAACTAGTGTGTATAACTTGTCTTGTGTTTACCCTGTTACATAATTAATGATATTTGACTCTGGCTTTAAATCTATAGGGTTTAATTTTCTTGCAAGAAATACCAATCAAAAAGCACTGAACTATGGGTGAAAGAAATAATTCAGGTTCATTAAATTATGAGGAAAATATAACTGTACAATAAAATGTTGGCAAAAAAAACCCCAACAGTGCTGAGGCAGTGCAAGCTGTTTTCATATCAGTCCTGGTGAAACTTGCAAAAAGTGTAATCGGTACTAAAGGGAATTGTCTTTATTAGAATAGGGAAGCTTTTTAATGAGAAACTGTGGGAGATGAGGAGCCGTATCGGTCTCCTGGCTGCTTTTGTGCCAAAACAGGTCAATAAAACTGACTTGAACTGTACCGCACAGGCACCAAAGCAGAAACTATCTTCACCACTCCACTCTCGTCCAGACACACACCCTGCAAAGAGAAGGGGGGAGAAAAAGACTGAGACGAGAGTGTTGCCAAAGTGAACAAAAAAAAACTGTGAGAGTCAAAGCAGAGTCATAGATTAAATATTTAAACACACTGCAAAGTTATATCCCCCCCCCAAAAATGAACGGCCTACTTACAGAGCCCATGGAAATGTGTCTTCATATAAATACAAGAGCAACCTGCCTCTGTCCATGGTGCTGAAACAATCACACAACAGACCAACAACTCACCAGGCACCAAAACAAAGCAGCTCTCATTTCTTTAGAAATACAACTTCATGGTGTTCACTGTGATGGACACACAACTGCAGAGATGTGTGACTAAAATGATTTGTGTTGTGCACCCTGAACAACAAGGCTTTCTCTGACACGGCTCCCCAGAGTGTGCACCCTGGTGTGAACGTAAAAAAAACATACATATCCCCACCCCCCCTGCTGAAAATCAATGACACGGTTAGCGCGTTGGTAAAAGAGAGAGAGAGGGAGGGGAAAAAGGGAAAGAGAGAGAGGCGGTGTCTGGTGACCGAGGAGGAGGAGGAGGAGGAGAAAACTCCCGGTCCGCTCTTCGTCCTCTCAGCTCCCTCTCGCCGTCAGTCCTATAAGCAGTCGGGTTCAACCGGACGGAGTGCCCGGGGCCGTGGGTTTATTTTCCCCCGGGAATCGGAACAGGACACCGACGAACTATCCCAGGTAGGTACATGCACTCTTATCAACCGTGCGCGTGCTTTGTCCGAAAAGGAGAAATATTTAGAAATTTGGAAATGAAAGTCAATATTCGACTCTCCCGGTGCTGGTGCTTTTGCTGGACGGGTGGATGGATGGAGAAGAAGCCAGAACAATGCTCCGTCTCACTGGGGGCTGAAATTAGTGCTGACGCCGCTAATTGCTTTTTAAATTGGCGAATGGGAAGCTCGTGAGCTGGTGGTTTCGCCTGCGCCCCATTTGCAGCGGTGACAACTCTCCAATGTTTATAATCCGATTAGAAGATGGATGAGCCGTTTGGTAAAGTGAGCGCGCTCCACACACTCCCAACATAAACAGCGTGTGTTTTGTTTTCGGCTCGTGTTCTGTGGTGACATCCTGACCCGCTCTGCGTCACAGCGCGCAGAGTTCTGTGTTTCTGCAAAGTGCTCACTTCAGCCAACACTTTGCAGCAGCAGCAGCAGCAGCAGCAGCAGCAGCAGCATCGTCCCCTCTGTCCACTCTCACACCCTCTCTCCGTCTTTACTTCCAGAAGATGTTCCTCTCTCTGCTCCTACCTGTCGTGGCTCTCTTGCTGAGCGGAGAAACGGCGGTCTCCGGTGACAGTAACGACAAATGGCTGAGCACCGTGGCTCAGTTCAACAAGGACAGATCCTGGAACAGATTCAGAGACGTGAGTTGCGCTGAGCGACACAACATCCACAGCCAAAAGGGACATTATAATTAGCTTCATAGTGTGTACGTGCATGCGTGTGTGTGTGTGTGTGTGTGTGTGTGAGACGGTGCGGGAGCGCATTACGCACTTGCTACACCCTGTGAGTACTTGTGCACTTGCCAGCAGGCTTAATCCACCTTGTAGAAACTCAGCAGGTTCAAACCCTGCTAGAAACAAAGTCAGACTCAGAGAGTCAGATCTCTGCATAAGCTGGAAAATGATTTTCCTACAATTCGACTGACTGAAGATTTTGCCTATTGTGCCTGTTTCTCTGAGTAGCCATAAAACATTAGGGAGCTTTTTTTCTCTGAGTATTGATTCTGTCTATTTGAGTCAGATTTTTGGTGTTTCTACTTTTAAGCCTGACACAGTGCCTTATCTTTTTGAAAGAATGTTCATCTTTATCTATTTATGAGATACTCTACCTCCTAAGTGTATAGTTCACTGTCAATCCAATGTCGAGATTGACTGAAGCTCATTTGGGCAGTTGACTGTAGACCAGCTGGCTCCATGTGCAGTCAGATGCAAACGATTGCATTTCTGTACGACTCTATATAAATTGTCTCGACTGATTGACCCAGATTTGGTTTATGCTTTGAAAGTCGGGCTTTGAAACTCAGCTTTCCAATGTTTTAACTATTGAATGCTTTTGTGAATCACTTCAAGCCTTGACCAAGGAATGACTTATAGAATAAACTATGTGCTTTAGAGGATGAACCTCTAATTCAGAAACGCTGCAGTGGTACTGATACACAGAATCAGCCTGTTGCTGCAGCTTCATTGTTCAAACCACACACAGCTGTGAATTTTAGTCGAGATCTGCAGGTTTTCCAAGTCTCACGCTGGGTTTTTGAGGAAAGGTGTTCAAAATGCTGCACAGAGTATTTCTATTTGAAAGAACAGTGCATCGAAAAAAACATTCAGTCTCGGGTTGAATATTTCACTCTGTATAAACATCATAAAGCTTTAATAAAGAGCTGGGGGAAACTTTGAGGTGCTGCTTGACGATGTGACCTACTTTAAGAGGTTCTACGGTGTGTCACTACATAAGCGATGTTAGCATTAGCTATTACCATTCTAGCAGAAATATTGCTAGTTCTGTGTCATTCTTGCTAAGAGATGTCTTCTGCCGAGGATAACATCTGTTTGTTTGTCTGTTTTTCTTCTATTTCCATAATGTTTTGCCTTTACTGTAAACAGCATGCTAACCAGCTAGCTGCGAGTCTTCGTAGGGTCAGTTCCTTATGAAGTAGCATACAGAGGAGGCATAGTATAACCTCTTATAAAGGACAAGATGGAGAATATCCCTTGTATTTTCTGCTGCACTAATGCCTACCACCAGTTGATGTTAGCGGATGTTAGTGACATATCTTCATATAACACATAAAACAACATATTTAATCAACTTTGTGTGATCGTTCACTTCCAAAACTTCTCTCTCTCATCTTCGCAAAGGGAAACAGCCATCTGCTGTTGACTTGTAAATAGGTTAGAATACCTCAAGAGCTCTCTTAAGTATGTTGAGACAAAATGAGACCAAGTCTTGACACCCAAAAACTCTTCATATGTTGAGTATTCTCACCCAGATATCACTCCAGGAGCTATAGTAGCAGAGCTAACACACTTTCTAGCGTGACCAGTTGTTTACAGGCTGATGCTGACATTTGTGTAACCACTGGCATTGGGTTTGATATTGTTCTCCTCACAATATGACGTCTTTTCTTGCCTGCTAACTTATTCGCCAGGGATTTCAGTAGACAGCAGGCTAACGTCGGCCTAATTAGCCAAACTGGCCTTCCCTATACACTACTGAAGCCATGATGTGAGAGCTAGTATTAGTCATCACCCATACACTTGGCCAGGGTTTCAACTACCTGCAGTGTGTGTGTGTGTGTGTGTGTGTGTGTGTGTGTGTGTGTGTGTGTGTGTGTGTGTGTGTGTGTGTGTGCTGTCCACTCTTTACTCCTCTCAGTGGTCTGCTGTGCAAATGAAACTCATTAACAGGAAACTGTCAGTGGAGGATGGAAGACAGGAGTGGAGGGAGGTAATGGAGGTGAGAGGAGGAGCAATAGATAGAGGGAAAGGTGGTGACATTAATGTTTAATATTTCAAGCCATGCTACCGACCAAACGCAGGTGCTGCTGTTGTGTGTGTGTGTGTATGTGGTTTGCCCTATCACACAGGGAAACCTGCTGGTCATAATTTGTCTGCTGAGACATTTGCTGTCTTTTGTCCCACTGTGTCTTTTTTCCTATGCCACCCTTTCCCTGCTATTTCTTTCCTCATCTCTCTGGCACCACACAGTTTAATAACGCAGATAGCACAATCTTAGATTAGGAAAATGTGGCTCTGTGTCAATATCAAACAGGGAAACTGTTCTTGCAACCAGCTTAATTTGATGAGTCAGGGAAAGCATGATCTTGATGTACTGTCAGTTTGATCATGGTGTGTTCAAAGGCACATTTAAACTGGGCAGTATTTGGTTTTTTACAACTGAAAAAAACTGTGAGGAAGTCATCGGCCAACAGTGAAAAATGGTGGTGGGACCGTTTCAGACTCTTGACAATTTAAGACCCATAAGTTGACTGCTGCTATGATCCACATTAAGTAATTAAGTAGTAGTATCAGTGTCATCATTGCATATGTTGTCACGTAGGGATGAGCAGCATGAGCTGCTAGTGCTCTCTCCATAACTCACGACTGTTAGCATCCATCGTTCGGTGAATTGCCTGCATTTGACAAACTGATATTTTGTCCTGACTCAAACATTTGGAGACATCAGCACTTAACGAGTTGTCAACCTTTCCTCCTCCGCTCTGCTGGTTTTGTGTTGTTATTTAATGTCTTTCAGCACCTGACATCAGATGTGTTGAAATGTGGTTATATTGTATACTCTGTTTTTATACACGTTTCATTTTATTATTTAAGGTTTAATTTAAACCTGCATCTCATTGTAAAGCAAAAAAGCTTCTTTGGCAAACTAAGGCCTCCCTTCTTCAATGTTAATGTTGCATATTGATATGGTGCTGGTGCTATATTATTTTTATTGATAGTAAATATACTATTTAAATATACATTCAGTATAATGTGGTACAAAATTTACCCAATCTTTGATCTCTATCGTCAAGTAAACGATTTGATGTCATAGTTTGAATCCTTTATTATCCTTCACAAACGTGTGAAGTACAGTAGCACCATCCCAAAATCAGCCCCACCTCCTCCTGTGTTTCCTGACTGAGTCATGAACTCCACATTTTCCTCTCTCTTTTTTTCCTCTTTCTTATTTTGTTCCTCTGTTGCCGGAGCAGCGAATGACCCTGTGCTTCCTCAACCATGGCCCCTTTCTATCTCCTCCTCCCGCTCCCTCTGCCCTCACCCATGACTCCTCCTCTCTGCCACTCGCCTCTGCCTGCCATGTTTCACTCCGCATCCCTGCTGATGAGCCACTTGCTCCCTCCTGCATAATGTATGAGCTTCCGTATGTTGGCAGGGGAGTGGGTGCAATAGTTTAGCCATCAGAGTTCAGGTGGCCTCATCCAGAAAACATAAGGAAAAATGGGATGTGATTTATATGTTTACCCATATTTTGTACTAAGTGAGCTTTAATGTGTTGGGACATTAGTGCAATGCAGATTGATGCAGTTTCATTCTACTTTGACTGAGGAAGATCTGCAGCAGAACTTGAAACAATCCTCTCAGTTTAAAAAACACAAAGCCAATGTTTTTGTCTGTTCTTGCTTATATATTAACTGCAGCTTAATTCCAGCAGATTTGTGGACACATTTCTCATATTATATGACACAGTATATTGGAATATCACTGAAGTGCATAGACAGGTTTGTTGGCTGAGCTGGTCCAATTCTTTACACACCAGCCGCTGCTGTTTAAATGTCTGAGTATAATTAGCTGAGTTGTCTTTGCAGAAAAGAGGTTTATCTTGGTTTCTAGTGCAGTGCCTTTGTTTCAGTAATGCTTCGGAATGGCTTGGAGTCTGCTCAGCGTGTCTTAGAATATCCCAATGTTTACAACCAATTAAATTGTTTCTTAATCCTGAAAAATTTTGCTACACCACATTTGTATCTCATTTGCCAAATCACTTGTGATTTATGCCAGCTGTATTTCAGTTTTCCTTAGGATGCAATCACCACTTAAACTTTCATGAGCTTTCATGGAAGTAAAATGCAGCTGCAGACACACACACACACACACACACACCCATACAGTACACACATTTGTATGCAGCAGTGAGTTTGACAGTGTTTTTGTTTCAAGCAGGGGTCAACTCTTGTTGTGAGCCCGCAGCTGCCTCGTGTTGTCAGCTACATCAACGTATTCTGGTCTGGACAGAAGTGAATATGAGGGCTCCTGCTGGAACAGTGATAGAACCAGCTTCAATGGGAAAATCTTAATAAGAGATTCTAATCTCACAGGGCCCCACACTAGCCCATGTAGCATGAAGGTATCCAGCTCCAGTTCATTGTCTCCAGTTCTCTGAAGACACCTTTTTTAAGTGTTCTTAATAAACACTTTCAGTGGATAATTACGGCCCTCCACTGTTTCTTAATGATGTAGAACGGTCTGTCAGATAGGCCGACCTCAATCCCATATGCCCTCTGCAGCCAGTAGAGGAAACACTATTATGGAACTAAACTATTTTTATCACTGCAGAGTTTAGGAAAGGTAAAGTCATAACATTTGAGGCATGTAACAGTACAACACCAGGATTTATAGTTTCATATCCTGAGTGTATAATTGTGGAAACGCTTTTTCCACTCTTGTTTTTTTTCCTTAAAAGGAGCTTCTCCCTGTTTTCATCCTCCTTCCCCTGCTCTCCCTCTCTTTTCCTTCTTAAATCCCGTCTTCCTTCCTGTTTTCATGCTGTAAATTGAACAAAATCGGATCGCTTCCTCGTGTGTTTTGTGGGAATGCATGTCATCACCAGGGTGTCTATTCATTAG